GAATATACTATACCTCAGGCATACTCGTCGACATAGGCTTTGTGTCTTCATTTGGTTTATTGGAAATCAATGGTGAGGTTGAGTGGGTATCTACTGGTGGTACCGAATCTGGACTTGTTGTGTCTGTAAGATTGTGTTCATAGCTTTGGGTCTGGTTTGTGACATCCGGTGATTCACTTCTATTCATTTGTTGACTCAATTCTGTTGTCGCTTCCGATTCTGTCATTTTTGTGGTCAAATGTGTTATGTTTTCTGAAGTTTCTGAAGTATTGAAATCTTTCTGTGTGTGAGTTGTAGGCATGGATTCTGTGGACACTTTGGGCTCTTGTGATGGACTGGCTGTAGTTGTTTGCGTGGGTCTCATGATTTCCATGGGCACAGGTGTCTGTGGCTCTGTTTGTTTTGGTTCAGGCGGTGGTGTTGTCATCTCATGTTTAACAGATGTGATGAATGGGCTCGAAGTGGTTTGAGAATATATTGCGTTGTCTCAGGTTTCAAACTTTGAACATCAGATGCATTCATATTTGAATATTCTGTGGTTTCTTGAACTGAATTATTTTGCATTTGTGTGGACTCGATGTCACTTTCGTTATTCTTAGATAGGGTCGGAATATAGTGATTGTCTGCATTTGATTGACTTGTAGTCGTGAAAGTTGTCTTTTCTGGTGATACTTCTGGTGATTGTGGTGTGGATGGGGTTGTAGTGGAAGAAGATTCTCTGGGCTGAGCAGAAGACGTTTCGGGTGTCGTTGTACTACTCGTACTGACACTCGATTGTGTTGTCTGTTCCCCAACTGAGGATTTACTCGTGGATTCTTCACTAGAAGCCATTGGTGTGACAGTAGTTGTCATCAGTTTAACCACATTATCGTTTGGATTTATTGTAGTCGCGATAACTTCTGGGCTCGTATTAGCAGGCATTCCGTCATTTGTCTCTTTTGATGGCATTTCTGTAGTAATCGTTTGATTTTGAGAACTTATTAACTCCTCGTTTGGACCAAAACTCAAAGTCTTCGGTTCTTTTGATGCCATTTCCACTGGAGTTGGGGTAACGGTTGGGGCAATGAATTATTTTGCATTTGTGTGGACTCGATGTCACTTTCGTTATTCTTAGATAGGGTCGGAATATAGTGATTGTCTGCATTTGATTGACTTGTAGTCGTGAAAGTTGTCTTTTCTGGTGATACTTCTGTTGGTTGTGGTGGGGATGGGGTTGTAGTGGAAGAAGATTCTCTGGGCTGAGCAGAAGACGTTTCGGGTGTCGGTGTACTACTCGTACTGACACTCGATTGTGTTGTCTGTTCCCCAACTGAGGATTTACTCGTGGGTTCTTCACTAGAAGCCACTGGTGTGACAGTAGTTGTCATCAGTTTAACCACATTATCGTTTGGATTTATTGTAGTCGCGATGACTTCTGGGCTCGTATTAGCAGCCATTCCATCTTTTGTCTCATTTGATGGCATTTCTGTAGTAATCGTTTGATTTTGAGAACTTATTAACTCCTCGTTTGGACCAAAACTCAAAGTCTTCGGTTCTTTTGATGCCATTTCCACTGGAGTTGGGGTAACGGTTGGGGCAATCGGTTCATTGATTGGCAAAACAGAAGTTTGCGGAACATCTGAATTATGAATAGTTGTTGCTTTTGAACTCAAACTTCCGGATTCT